CAATGTATCGAGTAATCGGATCCGATTACTCCGAGCATTCAATGATCGGAATAATCGGATCCGATTACTCCGATCATTGGATGATCGGAATAATCGGATCCGATTACTCCGATCATTCAATGATCGGAATAATCGGATCCGATTATTCCGATCATACACATGGGCTTGTGCTCTACTGCGGTTGCATGATCGGAATACTCGATTACGATTACTCCGATCATTCAATGATCGGAATAATCGGATCCGATTACTCCGACCATCCAATGATCGGAATAATCAGATCCGATTATTCCGATCATACCGGCGCCAGCGAGCGTCGCTAATAACAACAACAACAACAACAACCACAATCACTTTACCCGAACGCTCAGTGTTCTCACCAGTGCCAGGGTTTTCATGCGACGCCAGCCAATACCCCCACTTTGTGGGGGGGCAGTGCAAGCTCTACCAAATATCCACACGACTCTTCGCCACCACCCACACCCAGCTTCCCGCCCTATGACGTTCGGACACTTCACTTCGTGGCCTGCGGACGACCGTGGCTACTACACTGGCGTGGAGTACACACCCACAGAAGTTGTTAAGCCTACGTTCGTACACCCACAGAAGTTGTTAAGCCTTGTTAACCCACAGGACCACGGTGCGATTCGTGTGATTTTATGATGCGCGGTGCTAAAATTCTTAAGAAGCCCAATGGTTTTTGGAGATTTCGGCGTGCGCGCGCGAAGAAAAAACGAATGTGTCCCGCATGGTATTATTTGACAGGGATGATGGCCCTGGCAGGTGCGCAACCGTTGTCGCAGAAGTTCGAAAAAGTTGCTCGCAAAAGCCCGTTTGACAGAAATGTTTAAAAAGTGTTGGGTTTCCTACGAATCCGCAAGAGCGCGCGGGATGAGATTTTGACATTTTTTTGTTGAAAAACCATTGGTTTTTTGATGTTTTTATGTTAAAATCGCTCCGAACACTAAGCTTTTGGAAGGATTTCGTCTTGCGCGCGCGAATGTCCACTTTACCTTATTTTTTGCAAGGGATTCTTGAAATTTGATTATATTAGAACAAGAAATGTCATTTTATAGTGTTTTTTGCAAGGGAAAACGGATTACAACAAAACAACCGGATCTGGATCACATCGTTTTCTGAGGCTTCCTCACGAAAGTGATGAAAATGTAGCTGCGGCCTAGGCGCGGCGGGGGGGGCGTGCACCAGGGGGCCCAACAATAATTATTCTTTAGAATTAATAATGTTCCACAACCACAACAACAACAACAACAACAACAACGAGAATCCGCACCGCGGAATCCCACTTCAGCCACGCACCCAGGGACAGTGAATGACCGTTCGGCCCCCTCACTCTGATATATATATATATATATATATGTATATATATACACACTTTAATATATATATTATATTATTTATATATATATATATATATATATAATATATATATATATATATATATAGAAACATCGCGCGCGCTTCGCGCGCGCTCAGGTTTTAGCAGGCCCCAGGCCTTGAC